TCCTCGGAAGGAAGGTTGGGGAATCCTACTTCCGTAGTGATACTGCCTCAGAAACCCAAGGAGGGGTCGCTATGAGTCGGGGCCGACTCGACGGCACATAACAACAACAACAACAACATAGGTCGTCTAACATCCTCACTGCTGCTTCCATTGGCATCGACTGTAGAACCAAGCAATGTGAAGTCTTTGACAACTTCAGTCTTTTCTCTATTTATCGTGATGCTGTTTATAGGTCCAGTTGTGGGGATTTTTATTTTCTTTATTTTGAGATGTAATCCATACTGTAGACTGTATTCTTAATCTTCATCAGTAAGTGCCTCAAGTCATCCTCACTTTCAGCAAGCAAATCTGTGTTGTCAGTGTATTGCAGGTTGTTAATGATTCTTCTTCCAATCTTGATGACACGCTCTTCTTCATATAGTCCAGCTTCTCGGATTATTTGCTTGGCATACAGATTGAATAAGTATGGTGAAAGGATACAACTCTGAAGCATTCCCTTCTTGATTTTAAACATGCAATGTCCCCTTGTTCTGTTCGAACAGTAGCCTCCTGGTCCATGTACAGGTTCCTCATGAGCACAATCAAGTGTTCTGGCATTCCCATTTTTCTCAATGTCATTCACAATTTGTTATGATTTACACAATCAAGTGTCTTTGCGTAGTCAATAAAACACAAGTAAACATATTTTTGGTATTCTTTGGTTTTAGCCAGGATCCATCTGACAGCAGCTATTGAGTAAAATACTTGGGGTTAGTTTAAAATATATTAATCCTTTCATAAAAACTAATTAAGTATTTTGATACACAATCAACACATATGAAGCAGCAGTCAAGATATCAAATGACATATTGCATTTGGCAAATCTGTTGCAAAAGACCTCTTTAAGGTATTAAAAAACAAAAATGTCACTTTAAGGCCTGACTCAAGCTATGATATTTTCAATTGCCTTACATGCATGGGAAGGTAGACAATGAACAAGGAAGTTGGCAGAATTGATGTACTTGAAGTATGGTGTGGGTGAAGAACATTAAATATACCATGGACTGCCAGAAGGATGAAAAAAATCTATCTTGGAAGAAATTTCAGCCAGAACGCCACTTAGAAGTGTGGATGATGAGACATCATTTCATGTACTTTGGACATATTATCAGGATATCAAATACCTGGAAAAGAATATCATGCTTCGTAAAGAAAAGGGTCAGCAAAAAAGAGGAAGAGACTCAGCAAGATGGAGTGACACAGTGGTGGTAAGAATAGGCTCAAACATAGCAACAATTGTGAGGATGGCACAAGATTGGGCATTGTTTTATTGTACATGGGGTTGGGACAAGTTGAGACTAACTTGACAGCACCTAACAAGAATAACTCCTCAAAACTGTCAAGTTCATCAAAAACAGGGAAAGACTGTGAAACTCAAATACCAGAAGAGATAAGGAGATGTGACAACTAAATGCAAGAAGAGAAATAATGTTAGTGGAAAATATATGAAATTTGAACAATGGCTGAAGTTAAGATAATAAAAATGAACCTATGTTGTTTTTTTTAGTTTTGACAAATACACTATGGTAATATAAGATTCGAAATAGCATGAGGGTTGTTTCTTGTAGCCATTATAACAAATTACCACAAACTTTGTGGCCTAAAACAGCAGACATGTATTGTCTCACAGATTTGGAGGCCAGAAATCTGTATTGAGTTTCATTGGGCCAAAATCAGTGTCTTGATAGGGGAATGCTCCCTCTGGTGTTCCGGGGGAGAATCTATTCCTTCCCTCTCCAGATTCCAATGATGGCCAGCATTACTCGGCCTATGGTGCATCACTTCAGTCTTGTTTTTATGGTCACCTTGTTTTGTATTCCTCATTCTCTGGAAAAACCTCCCTCTCACCTCTTCTTATAAGGATATATGCAATTTCATTTCAGGGCCCACCCGGATGCACCAGGATAATCTCCCCATCTCAAAATCCTTAATTTAAGTATATCTTCCATGTTCCTCTTTCTCCATATATGGCAACATTCAGAGATTCCAGGGGTTAGGCTATGGATAGATTTGGGGGAACCATTATTCAACCTACCACAGAGTTATATGGAAACACTCTGAACAATCTTTGAAAGCTTTCTGTAAGTCTAAAACAATTCTAAAGGGAAATAGTTATTTGAAATAATAATTAAAATGGTTCTGACAGAAGAAACGCCACCATCAAAGACAGATGCGAGTCTATGTGTTATGCCATACTGTCCCAAATTATCAGTATGACTCTGTTAGTCATTTAAGCACAATCTCACAGGTCATGAGATATTGAAGGCTTTATTCATCTAGAGACCAATTTAAAAAAAAAAAAAAAAAGACATGGCTGCATGTTTCCATGGGTAGTTTTAGTATATAATTGAGTTCCCTGAGAATCAAAATTAAATACGTAGGGACTGTGTATTATAATAGCACATTGAATATATGTCATCTTTATTACTGACAGATATTTGTCATGTTTATATCTTATATGGACATTTAAAATCATTTAAGTTAATTGTATAATCAGTATATAGGAAGTAATTTTCCAAATTAAACCAGATATTAACATTTGGGGAGCTCTGGTGGTGTAGTGCCTAAGGCATTTGACTGCTAACCAGAAAGAAGGCTGGGGTTTCAAACCCACGAGCCACTCCTTGGAAGGAAGACTGGGCAATTTACCTCCATAGTGATACTGCCTCGGAAACCCAAGGAGAGGTTGCTATGAGTCATATCCAACTTGATGGCAGTGCGTTTTTTTTTTTTAATTAAAATTTTAAATTATCACATTTTACTGTCTTTATGGTTTGTTGAAAGTAAGGAGCTCTGGTGGCACAGTGCCTAAGGCATTTGGCTGCTAACCAGAGGTTGGCAGTTCAAACCCCTCAGAAGCTCTGCAGAAGAAAGATAGGGCAATCACCTTCTGTAAAGATTTGCCATCTCAGAAACCAGTAGGGGTCACTATGAGTTGGAATCAACTTGACAGCAGTGAGTTTGAGAAATGGTCTTTATTTGCCACCTAATAAGATAAATTTCTAACTAAAAATTATTAAATGACTGATCCATTTGATAATACGATTTTTCTGAAAAACACTGTGTCCAAATGTTGGGAGTACAAGCAGTGCGTTAGGAGCCATGGTGGTGCAACTGTTAAGTGCTCAACTGCTAACCGGAGGGTTGGTGGTTCACATCACTTAGTGGCTCCCTGGGAGGAAGATCTGGTGATCTGCTCCCACAAAGATTACCAACCAGAAGACCCTGTGGGGTAGTTCCACCCTGTCACATGTGGGTCACATGTGCGTCACTATGAGTCATAACTGACAACAGCACCCAACAACAACAAGCACTGAGAGAGAATATAGATTGAAATGTCTCCCCAGAGCAGAAAATTACCCATGACCCTGGAAATAATTGAAAAATGTATGTAGAAAGTACATTATGTGTAATGTACTGTATTATAAGTGGTTCAAAGACTCAGCATTTTATAACAGTCAGACTTAAAGCTTAACTCATTTATTCATTCATTTAACAAATTTTTATGGAGAACAGACTCTATACCAGATACTTGTTTAGGTACTAAGGATCATGTTGAGAAAAAAGAAAACAAAACATAAAGCCACTGTTTTCATGGAGTTCACATTGTAGTTGGAGAAGATAGATATTAAAAGAGCATGAACACATAAACATATCATAGGAGAGTGTTGATAAGGACTATGAAGAAGAATTCAGGGTGAGAGGACAGTGCACCTGGGAAGGGGAGAGTGGTGGCTTTATAAAGATGGTCAAGGAACATCTCTATTACAGGGCAACATTTAGGCAGAGACCTGAAGGGAGTGAAGGAACACTTCAGTCCAAGGGAGCAGCAAGTACAAAACTCCTGAGACAGAATCATGCTTAGAGATGTCAAGGAATAACAAGGAAATCAGTGTGAATGAAGTGGGGTGAAAGACTGAGGAAGTGCCGGGAGATAATGTAACTTAGCTAAATTATGAATGAATGAGCAGCATTAATCATTTCAAAGTATTTGCAGACAGAAAGATGTACAACACTATTAATATTCTCAGTGCATCTGTAAACAGTGTGAAAAGTTGATGGTATTGTTTCTAGGTGCTGTCAAGTCAATTTTGAATCATGGTAACCCCACATGTCAGAGTAAAACTGGCCTGTGGGGTTAGGCTGTGATCCTTATAGGAGCAGATTGACAGCTGTTTCTCCCACAGAGCCTCTGGGTGTGTTCAAACCATCAAACCTTAGGTAAGCAGCCCAGTGCCTAACCATTGCACCACCAGGACTCCTTGAAAAGTTGGAAGTCACATACAAATAAATAGTAATGTGTTTTTCCCCTTAACATGGTTATTTTATCCTTTTGAGAACTGTGGTATGAACAAATAGAGTCAGTCAAGACAGAAATATTAATTTTTTTCCAATGTGATACTTATGTATCTCTCAATAAAAAGTATTCCAACAAAAAAAAAGTACATTGAAAAGTATGTCACTTTTACTCAATGAGGACTCTTAGAAGTTATCCACATGAAGGAATAAATAAGACATAAATTAACATTCTAATACCAAATTTATTTATTTTATATTACTTTTATAAAAACTGGTCACATTCCATTTACCTTTGACAAATGTCTCACTCCCATGTGGCCATATGGGGCACATACATGCTCATCTGCATCAACTTGTTTGTGTTTCTGTTTTACATGCATGTTTGCATTGGCATGTGATAGAAAAAAGTGCATGTGGAACAGTGATAAAATCAAATGTCATTAATAAGATTTTTGAATAACAGGACTTCTTAAGCTTCCCCTGAGCCATTCTCACTCAGGTTTTACATTTCTGGGCAAAACATTTTCTTTTTTCTAGAAAATAGGCATTTGAAGAGGGAAAGGTGTCACCTCAGGAAGTTAAGTGCAGTGTGAGCCATAAAATGTGAATCATTGCATCGAGATCAGAGATGAATGAAACTAGGTCATGTCGATCCCACACCACTAAGATCTCAATCCTAGAGTCAATTTTGCCTTCTCCATAACCTTCTTGCATGCATTCTTGGCCTCCTTGTTCCTCAGGCTGTAGACCACAGGGTTCAGCATGGGGATGATGATGGCATAGAACACCGATGCCATTTGATCTGTGTCCATGGAATGACTAGAGCTGGGCTGTAGGTACATGAAGATGACTGTTCCGTAGAAGATGGAGACTGCAGTGAGGTGGGTAGCACAGGTGGACAAAGCTTTTTGGTGTCCCTGAGCTGAGTGCATCTTCAAGATGGTGATAAATATTAACAGATAGGAAATCAAGATAACCACAAGAGCAAAAAAGACATTGAAGGTTGACATGAAAACAAGAACCATCTCACTAATGTGTTTATCAGAGCAAGAGAGAGCCATGACTGCTGGAACATCACAGAAAAAGTGCTGGATCATATTGGACCTGCATAATGAGAAACTGAATATGTCCCCAACATGGAAGCAGCCATTCAGGAAACCATAGACATAGGAGCCCATGGCCAGACGTGTATATACACTGGTCGTCATGGTGGCTGTGTAATGTAAGGGCTTACACACTGCTGCATAGCGGTCATAGGCCATTGTAGCCAACAGGAAGTTTTCTACGGTGGCAAAGGACACAAAAAAGAACATTTGAGCAGCACACGCATTGTAGGAGATGACATTGTCTCTTATAAGGAACCCAGCCATGACCTTAGGAGTAACAGCTGAGGAGTAACCTAAGTCCACCAGAGAGAGGTTGCTGAGGAAAAAATACATGGGAGTGTGGAGACGAGAGTCCAAGAGAATCAACCCAATCATCCCCAGGTTCCCAAGCAGAGTGATGAGGTAAATAAGGGTGAACAAGATAAAGAGTGGGGTCTGCAGTTCTGGAGCATGCATTAGACCCACCAGGATGAACTCAGTCACCACTGTACTGTTCCCCATGGGATCCGTGGCAGGCACTGCAGTGGTGAGAAATAAAGGAACAGTTGGTAAAAAGAAAAGATACTTCACTGAAATTAAAGCATACAAGCACTCCATTGTTACCTTATTCCATTATGACCATAGTTTGTTCTTCACTATTCTCTGATCTAAAACATGAACTTGACCAAAATAAATTGGTGCATAAATTATCCATATGATGATAGACTGTGAGCAAGAAGATTCCTCACAAATAGTATGGCCAGCTTCCCACTTTAGTAAAATAAACTGAGGTGCAGAAGAAGTTATAACTTGTCCCAAGTCACGTATTTTCAATAAATACATGGCCCAAATCAGATCACCTGAGTCTATTAACAGCCTGTCTAGTGCTCACATTTCAGGTAGTACTCCACGAGATTTTTTTTATCAATTTACTTATATAATGCTTTGTTGTTGTTATGTGCCGTCGAGTCGGCCCCGACTCATAGCGACCCCTCCTTGGGTTTCCGAGGCAGTGTCACTACGGAAGTAGATTGCCCAACCTTCCTTCAGAGGAGTGGCTGGTGGGTTTGAACCGCCAGCCTTCTGGTTAGCAGGCAAGTGCTTTAGGCACTACACTGCCAGAGCTCCTATATAATGCTTAACAGGTTTATATATTTTTAATCCCCTCAACAAACCTACGAAAGGATGATTATTTTGTGCAAATTTACATGAATGTCATTGGAGCTGAGCTTTGGACCCAGGCAGAGTGGTTACCATGACCCATGCTCTTAACTGAAATTTAATTCATTTTAATTTAACTCATTTCACATTCACTCATTGTGTATATTACCAAGCTTCATGTCTGGGGTAGCTCAGTGACGTAACTTGATATATATGTACAGGAGATGCAGTGGGATGACCGGAGCATGGACCACCAGCAAAGAGTTTCTGAAGAGGTTTGGCATTGCGTGTTAAGAGCTTGGACTCTGGAAAGAGCTACATATGCATGCAAATAGCAGCCCCAGCATTTAGTACCTGGGGGGCATTGGTTCTAAAGTAACCTCTTTGCACTTCACTTTCTCCACCCATAAAAGGAAGATGGGACTTTTCTTTTTTTTTCTTTTTTCTTTTATTGTGATTTGGGTGAAGATTTATAGAGCAAATTCACTTTCCATACAGCAGTTCACATACACTTTGTCTCATGTCATTGACCACAGTTTACCACAGTGCAACAGCTCCCCTCCCGCTTCCTCCCCATAGTTACCTCTTCCCTGTGTCCATCCTTCCATGTGCTCCTGCCCCCTGAGTTGTCTCCCTGTGCATAAACAGCCCTTCTTTCTCCCATGATTGTTCTCTCCAGGGAGTGTATCTATCTGAGGTAACTGTTCAACTCATATGCCTGTCTTTTGTTTGGCTGGAAGCCACAGGTGTTGGTTCAATTCCAGACCTGATGGGCAGCTAGGGGCCATAGTCTCAGTGGTTCCACCAGGCTCTATCAGACCAGCAAACCTGGTCCCACAAACCTAAGGTGGGACTTTTCAAAAGAGATTTCTGTGAGTGTTAAATGAGATCATGCACAAAAACATGGAGCGCAGTGTGGGCGCTCAGTCAGCACAGTCCTGATGGGCACTTGCTATAAAATTATTATTGGGATGGAGTGATGATCGCCATCTCGGTTGAGGAAAGGTGGACGGCAACATGCAGGGGTCACATTGTGGGTGAGTTACAAGTCTAATAGCCTTATTCTTCAATTTGCCTTTCCTCACATGTGAGGTCCACTTGGACCATTCTGGTACCTTCCAGTGTTCTGCATTCCATGCAGCCATTCCACATTAGAAACTGGGCACCATCCATCAGTCTCTCTTTTGATTAAACTTTCTTTCAGATCCATATTTGAGTGTGTTTCCTTATCTAAAACTACTTCCTTCTCTCATCCCTTAGCTGGATCACAGATATCCAGGATTAAAAATTCATGGGTCAGGTGTTTGATTCTAGCCTGCAGATCTATTTTGGTGGTAAGCTCCCTGTTGTTTTGTTTTGTTTGAATTTGAATTTGAAGTCTTTGGAAGGACAGTCATTTTCTGGTAACCACCATTCTCTATAATCTTCCTCTGGCCTTCTAGTCATTTCACAGGTTCACTTTATATTTTTAGTCCCTAAAGTCAGGAGTTCTGGTAGCATAGTGCCTAAGGCACTTGACTGCTAACCACAAATCCACCAGCCACTTCTCGGAAGGAAGGTTGGGCAATCTACTTCCGTAGTGATACTGCCTCAGAAACCCAAGGAGGGGTCACTAGGAGTCGGGGTCGACTTGATGGCACATAACAGCAACAACAACAAAGTCATTTGTGTAAGCCAACTTCTGACCACCTAATAACAGAACCTGTAGTTTTCATAAAGAGCCCTGCTAGCACAATGGTTAAGCTCTGGATTACTAATCAGTAGGTTAATGATGCAAACCCACCAGCCTCTCTGCAGGAAAAAGATGTGACAGTCTGCTTCCTAACAGCTCCATAGGAGACAGACTTGGAGATCTGCTTCCATAAAGATTACAGCCCAGTAAACCCAATAGGGCAGTTCTACTTTGTCACATAGAGTGTCTATGACTCAAAAACAAACTTGAGGTCACCTAACAACGTGATTTCTCTAGCATATACTGTGTTCTAGCACACAGTATATGCTATAGAAAGGAGATTATACAAAGAGATTTGGAGACATAATGGTTAAGTACTCAGTTACTAACCCAAAGCTTGGCTGCTTGAACCCACTAGTGGCTTCATGAGAGAAAAGACCTGGCAATGTGCTCACATAAGAATTACAGCCTGGCAAACCTGGTAGGGAACTTCTACTTTATCATTTAGGGTCACTCTGAGTCAAAATCGACTCAACAGCACACAACAGCCAGAGGATTATTAAGAAAAATATTATAGATACAGCTCTATCTCACTTAATCTTCATTAAAATGTTATAAGCACTATCATGGATATATTACAGATAAGAAAACAGAATTTGAAAAGTTAGGTTATTTCCTAAAGTTAGATATCTAACATGAAGTAGATTCAAGATTCAAACCAAGTTCTGATGGATTTCACAAACTGTGCCCTAAACTTTGGCACTGTCAACTCTCCTAGGTGTGTTAGAAGTAATTATAGAAGCAACAGATCTTCTGGAGGTAACTATAGTGATGACATTACAGACTAAAGAGTATTAAAATGAAGTATACATCTAACTGATTTCATGATTATTCTTCTGGAGTCTAAATAACTATCAATTCAAGCTGCTCACACTACGACAGGTCAACAGAGGGTAAACAAAATGAAATCACCACTAAATCCATCAGAGCAACATCTGTCTTATGTTCTTGCCCATCCTTCTTAGGAAAGTAGCCTGATGTTTCGTAAGTATCACTGAAATGTCTACCGAGGGAACTATTTTGTCATTGAGACTCTAGCCCAACAGAATGAATCAATAAAATGATCATGACATCCTGTTCTGAGCTTGACTAATAGTAGACTAGCTTCCCTACTGTTTTGTATCTATTGATTACCCTTCTCACTGAAAACACACGTAGGAATATAGAAGCTTACCTTACTGCTTGAAAAAAGGTATTGGCAATCCTGGCTGTTGAGTCTTAGAGCCAAAACTCTCCCAGAGAAGAAGATAAAGATCCTATTGGAGAAGCTCTCTCTGGGATACTGATAAAAAGTGTCCTTGGAATTATCACTTACTCTATGCCAAGGTCAGTTTTTCTCAATTTGTGAAATAGACATGATATTTTTAGCACTTCCACATACTTTACAGAATTGTGGTTGTGAAGAGGAAATGAGAGAAGATCTATAAAACGACTCAGCAAGGGATTATCATTTTAACAGAATTCAATGTCATTTTTATATCAAGGTGTATCCCCTGGCCGTGGCTCACCGCAAACCCTCAGTTAGGGGGATGGCAGGCTTGTGTACTTGTCACAACTCTCCGTGTTCAGAAGAGTAAAGAAATGACCGAAGGGGCTCTGCACACCACCCAGCCCCTCAACAATGTTACCAAACAGGATCCTGTTGACATTTCAGAAGCTAATTAATGAGAATGAGCAGGGCATTTTAGAGATCAGGAGATCTCAAGGGAACAGATCCCCTGTGAGGACAACCACAGATCTTTCTACCACTTCCCTAGGGAAGAGGCCATAAAATTGCCTGGGGAAACCCAGCTTGGTTTGTTGATAGAACACATAGCTATATTTACATTATTTGTTGTCATTTTTTCAATTTCAAAATGTTCTGATGAAAGTATAGTTTATATACAGTAAAATCCACACATTTTAGTGTATAGTTCTGAGAGTTTGAACAAATGCATATAATCACGTAAGCACCACCACAATCGAGATAGAGAACAGTCAGTCCATCAGCACCCAAAATTCACCCGTGTTCATTTGTAATTAAACCCTCATGGCACTCTTGAATCCTGGCAAGTACTAATTTGTTTCCTATTAGTATGACTTTTCTTTTGTGAGAATGTCACAGAAACAGAACAATACAGTATGTAGACTTTCGAATCTGGCTTTTTTCACATAGTTTGAAGACAATTCTTAAACTTCCTAAGTTCATTTTTTCCCTCTGTTGCTGTTAGATGCCATGAGTCAGTAGAACTTCTCTATCATCATTATAAATGGAGAAAAGATTGAAGTTGTCAGGGGTTTTATTTTATGTTATTGGGTCCACAATCAATGCTCATGGAACCAGCAGTCAAGAAATCAGACATCATATTGGACTGGGCAAATCTGCTGCAAAAGACCTGTTTAAAGTAAAGTGTTAAAGAGCAAAGATCCCAATTTGAAGACTAAGGTGCACCTAATCCAAGACAATTTTCAATAACCTCATATGCATGTGAAAGCTGGACAATGAATACGGAAGATCAAAGAAGAATTGATGCATTTGAATTGTGGTGTTGGAGAAGAAAACTGAAAATACCATGGGCTGTGAGAAGAACAAACAATCTGTCCTGGAAGAAGTGCAGCTGAAATGTTCCTTAGAAGTGAGAACAGCCAG